TAAAAAATGGCCCATTGACACTGGCATCCTGGCTCATATGTATTGATGGATCATGAATTTATATAGTTCATTTTTAACCCTGTTTTGAACCCTGTCAAAGTCCTACGGTTTGACTCATTATGGCCATTCTTATGTTCTTAATCTACAGAGAAAAGTGTAGCCACACCAGAAAACCTTTCTGAAGATCATTGTGAATGTTGTTTTAATGGTGGTCACTGTAGGACCTAAGTAGATGGCTCACTACTAGCATTATGTAAAGATCAACTCATTATATAAAGATCAAGTAGCGATTAAGCACAACAATGTTGAAGGTTTCTTAACTTACATTTTGATTTCAATTTAAGAGCTATTTATACATGTAGGAAACTTACAATGTATTACCTTGTTACCTGCACTGTCCTTATTTCAATATCCCATCTTGGACTGAATCATGGCATAGGAATAAATGGAGCAAGTGTTTATTATGTGCTTGAAAAACTCAATGAATATTTTATCCAAGAGCTTTATTTCTTCCAGTAAGGCAACAATTTGGCAGCACAAGATGTTATAAAACATACACACAATATCTGAAGAGCAAAGAAATACACCAATCTTTCCCCTGAGCCTGAATTATATCCTGGTGTGTATTGGTTTTGTCTTAACCTACCTTCTGCATTTTTTCTTTGAGCAACACCCTTTATTTTTATTTTCAATGTCTTTTGTATATCTTTCATGTGGTTAACTATTGAAATATGATTTCTGACATATTCAATTCCCCATCTTTCCCACATCTATTAGTTTTTAGGGTTATTTATTTAATCATTTAGTGGAATGGATTATAATTAGGGGTCTTGTTGTATTGAATAAACACATTATGTTATAATTTAAAGGGGCAGAAAGTAGCAAAGCTTATCTGGATCGCTTCCCCAGAATCCAAACCCAGAAACTATATTCTAGTTTCCAGATTTTAAAGAATTGAAAAGAGGACCCTACCTCTTACCTTATATCTACTGGCAGGATAATGCTTTCAGGCTTTATCTACACTGCAGGGTTTTTGCGCAAGAAGCTTTTTGCGGAAGAGATCTTCCACAAACACCTCTTGAGCAAAAGAGCATCCACAGTGCAAGAACACTCTTGTGCAAGAAAGTTCTAATTGCCATTCACAGAATGGCCATCAGAGCACCTGTGCTTTTTGTGATAGGCTCTTTTTGCACAAGAAACCCCTGTTGAGCATCCACACACACCTTTCTGAGCAAGACCTCTTGCGGAAAAAGGAGTTATAGCTCGTAGAAGGAGGTATACCTACACACAAAAAGCCCTCTGTTCTGTCAATTGACTGTCGATTTTCTTGTGCAAAAATGCTCGAGGTGTGGACACGCCGCAGGTTTTTGTGCAAAAATGGCTCGTTTTCCACAAAAACCCTGTAGTGTAGACATAGCCTCACTGAATACAAAGGAGGTTCCCCCTTTGAATGTAAGTGGAAAGAAGCAGTAGGGAAGGTTCGGGTACAAACTGAACATGAATGGTTCTCGACTTGTATGCAGGATAGGGCCTCATAGAGCAACGAAAAAAAACCCTACAAGGCGCCTTGAGAGTGATGCGGGTCGATTCTTTCGGTGAGTGGAGAAGGCCAATCTCGAGAGCCTTCCAGAGAGGGGCAGGGCACAAAGGGGTAGAAAGAAGACGGAGCTGGAGAGACCGGAACCAGCTAACAGTTCTACCACACTTTGCAATTCACCAGCCACCCAGGCACTTGTGTAAAGGTCTCCAGCCTCGCTCACCTCGGGCTAGATTCTGCAGGGCTAGGCGCTGGCAGCGGTCTCCCTATGGGGCTATCTCAGCGTGAGCGAGGGCGGCAGAATCCGCGCACGCTGCAGTTCCGAGCAAGCACTGTCTCCTGTCCGCGGATCAGCCTTGGGCTACAGATGCTTCGCCTTCCAGTGCAGGGCCCGAGCCTGCTCCCGTTGGAGCCAATGGCAACACTCCTGTTGATTTCAGTGGCGTGGAATCGGGGCTGCAGTGAGAGGAACTAACAGCTTGTACGAATTAAAATGGCGGAAGCCATGGAAGCCTTCCTAAAAGCTCCTGCCCTGCTTCTCTGCCTGTAGCAGGACAGAGCCAGCGTGGGTTGTATTGGTTGGCATTTCCTGGGCTAGGAGGCCCCCGTCACTTTCGAGGCGAGAGGGGATGCGTGCTCTGGGGAGACTGAACTTGGCCGCAAAGGGATTTCTTTAAATCGGAACCAATCCAATGCCACATGTTGGACAAGCACTTTCCTATACACGAGCATTCCCCACCCACCGTCTGATTCAGTAGCGCAGTGGCTGCGGCCCAGCGAGATAGCCAGCACTCCCCCTGGGCATGGCCCACAGAGAAGTGATTCCCCTTAGCGGCCCCTGGAGACCCCGACCCTCTCCAGCGCTCTCCCTCCCGTGGAGAGGAGGGGAGGTAACACACCGCGGATCCTGGCTTCCGTTCCCCTTGTGCTTTCCGCCAAGTGACACGTCGAACGGGCTTTGGAGCAGGAGAATTGCGCTCAGGCGGCACCCACGCGTGGCCCGCGAGTTCTGGTCGCATCCCAGCCCCTGATGGGCAGCCCAGGGAGTAACCTGGCAGGGTACAGACCTTTGAATGCTGCGTTTCCCCATTATCGTCCGTGGCTAAGGGACAGCCGCTGCCACGCACCGTTTTTTAGTTGCTTGTTCTTGCTCCCTCTTTTGTAGCCAATGTTGCACAACAAACCCAGAGCCCTCATACTCCCGGTGGAAACGTTTCTAGAGGCTAAACCTCCAGCAGCTGGGAACTTTTAACATGGGCAATGCCTGGGTCTCGCACTGAGGAGCCGCGAGGTCAGTTACTGTGTGGGACAGATTGCGCTGCATTTCCACTTCCATTCCGCTTGGGCAGACGAAGCAGGCTGCTCATTCACGTGCTGGGCGCAGAATGGGGGGCAAATCACCAGTTTAAACTAGGAAGTCTATAAATCACAATGGTTCTTCCCCGAGTTAAGCAAAGAGAAGATCCTCAGGAAACGGCGACAAGGTTAACACTCGTGAACTGAAAAGTGCCTTGCCTTAGTTTACAAGGGACATGTCCAGTAAAAACGTTGAATAAAGTCGAGGCAATCGGCTGATCCTAGCAGGGGAAGCACCTAAAGCGTTAGGAAAGCGGAATATAGAAAATAAATTACTCTAGAATCTGTTCGACTGGTAAAACACTTAAAGTACTTTCGACCTTTTATCTTGTCAGACATCATCTCTCCATGTATTTCCTATGTATTTCTAAACTTTTCTTGTTATGCATCTTCTCAAAGAGGTTTGTCGTGGAACCAGCAAAATGTGAGAGCTGGTGTGCTAGCTAAATTTGAGAAAACAGAAGGTAAAAGTCCGTATTCACTCAGCATACCACGAGGTTCATTCGTCGTTAAGATAAATGTGAAATTAGGAACCAACTCTTCGGGCAGAAAGTCCAACAAGTGAACAACAAATGCATGATTCCTGTTCAGATCATGCATCCTGCGCTTAATATATGTGATTAGGTAAGAAAAGAATTTTTGCATGCCAGGCAATTTTGATGTCTAACCCATCTGAAGAATACCAGAAGCTTTCAAAGAGGCATTGGACAAGTTCAAACGCCATCTGACATAAGATTAGAAAATCAGTGTGAGAAGTAACGAATACAAGTAATTTCGTGAAGAGATTTGTTTTCTTCCTAAGTGCTGTTATATAAATGATTATCTAATAGAGGAAGAATGTAAACCAGTGTCTCAATTCCATAGTTTATTCTAGAAACACACATTCATCTAGCATATTACATTATCAATATGTTATATATGTAGAATTTACTGAATATAATGTACTATGTGTGTGTGTATCGAAATGTATTCCCAGCACATCTACTCTTTCTCTCTATCTAGATACAATCTATGCCATATATAATTCTGTAGTGTGTGTTTAGTTATTGGTAGTTTATGTACATGTACAGTATAATATGCATATATGCAACATTTGCACAAATTATAGGTGCATGTGTTCATAAATATAATATGCACAAAGATTTATATACGCATAAATAGATATAGATAAATGCCCACACTTTTAGGAACTATATGTGGGAAAATGAAATATCCAGTAAACTAAACACATGTAGATATCCCACAACAGATGCATAATGGTGATTCACTACGCATAAGAGTTGTAAAACGGATGGCGAATGTAATTGACATAATTTACCAGTATTCCCCTCAGCTCTGCTCCACATAAGCTTTGAAGCAAACAGAGTTTCCATTTAAGAACTGTATATTTTAATTGTGTCGGGATTTTATGGAAACAGCTGAAAATAACAGTCAGAAACATGAACCACTTTCCTCTCAGTATGTCTTCTCCAGACCGAAAAAGTCCTATATATAAAAGCTAACGCAATAGGCCAAATCCTCCGTTTTACTCGGGCGAAAATCCCACAGTAAAGACAATGGAACAAGGAGGAACAAGTCTTGAAACCGCATATGGTCCCAAATTACATCAGAAACAGCGATCTCGCGCTGGCTCTCCCCTTCCGGAAATATGTAAATATCTCAAAACTCCTTCCATGTATTAAATAATGTGCCAAGTCGTGAAACTGAATAGATGTGTTCAAGGTACTTGGGGCCTGAGGAGAGGAGGCGGGGCTTTCAAAATAATTGCCTGCCTGTCCAGTTTGCTGAAAACCTAGTGTAAAAGGACTCGTCAAACAGGGAGAGAACGAGTCTTGGTAAGTAAAGGAGCGAGAACTTTAGACTCGAGCGTTGTTCTTTTGCAACAGCACTTCCAACTTTTTCGAACGGCAGCAGGTTACCACGAGACATCTGGCCCGCTGGTCAATAGCAGCAGCTTGCATTAAACTGCCTCCTACCTAACAGGGCTGGGCTAGCGGGTTAGCCACGTGTCCGAGGGTTTCTCTGAAACCTTGTCCCACCTAGTCCGAGGGAGAGTAGTGGGGAGCAACTAACACCTACCTGCCATCAGCAGCGAGGCCCCTTTCCTGAGAGCAGAGTGGCGGAGCTGTGTCTTTCTCGAATACCCGGCTCTGTGTATGGGAAAGTGGCAGCTGGAAGCCACGCCCGCTAAGTGCAGTTTGCACAGAGCGGGACAGCAAGCGTGTGGTGCTCGGGGACAGGAGCGGTGGGTTTCCTGACACCGCCCCGCATCTCCCGGTTGAAAAGATAGATACGCTTAAGCTCTCAGCCACGCTGGCGCTGCTGGAAACCCATCTGGCCACGATCCCCAGGCGCTGGAAGTTCCCACACGCGCGCTGTGGCCAGGCAGCGGCAGCAGCCCGTGCCTGGAGCCAGAGCAAAGAGGGACCATCGATGGAAGCGAGCAGGGCTAGGAAGCTCGGTGCTCCGGGCTCCGTTTGTGCATTTTGAAGTCGAGTCAAGGCTACAAGGGATGAAAGCAGCCAGAGCATACATAGAAAGAAGCGAGGTGGGAGAGAGGCACTGGGACATGCAGTCCGCATCCAGCCCCAGGAGTGTCCGGCCTTGCCTCCAGGTATGAGTCATTCTGTCAGAACGCCTCACCACCCCACACCCCAGAGCCAGGGGGGTTGCAGTGGGACCTGTCCGGGGCAGAAACAGACACTTCTTGTTTCATTGATAAGCTGGGGCAGCCAGAGGGAAATTATTCTTCTCCCCCCCCCCCCCGGCTCTGAGCCAATCACAACAACAATCCTACATTCAACTCTGCAGGAGGAGAGGAGGGAAGCTGCTCAGAAATACCCCTGCTCAGGTACAGACTGATTCCGGAGGGTGACAAAGTGTGGAAGGGGGAGAAGGAAATTACAGGGGGATGTTTCAAGAAGGGGGAGGGTCCTTGTCAATTTGCTCCCATTTATATTCCTATCCACCAATTATTCATTATTATGATTATGAGTGTTACAATACATGGGCGGGACGTGGTTGGCTGGGCTGCCCAGTCTAGCCAATGGGAGGCTCGGGATGCTGGCTTGGCCAGCCTCTTACCCATGCGTTGGAGCCTGGCATTCCCGCTCGCCGCGTTTTGATTTGCTCCCTAATTGACCTAAATAAAAAGCTTGTGAGTGACAAGGCTTCTCCGAGCCCCCAAGGCAGCGCGCACGCACACGCAGCCCGGACCCAGCACCACTGAAGTCCTAGTAAGTCACTGCCCTGCCTGGCCCGGACTAATTCCATTTGCAGTGCTGCGCTTCCAATCGGAGAATTACCCCTCGCTTGTACCTCGTGTAACTTGCCTGGCATTTTTATTTCATTATTATCGTTTTCGCGCAGAATCTGGCGCCTCCGAGGGGATCCCCCCACCTCTCCGCTCCTAGCTTGCAGGAAATGATGGCACACCGCGCTCTGAAATGAGTACCCCGGAAAAACACCCCTTTCTACCAGGAGAGCATCCATCGGGTCACGCAGAGAAAGGAGGTGACTGCTCGCACGGCGCGAGAGATCCCTTTTGGCTTGGAAACTGACCAGCGATCTAGACAGCCACCCTCCCCAGCCCCCACTGGCCCGCCCCTGGCAGCTGGACCCAGGATGCCGGACGAAGCGCCCGAAAACACCCATTCTGCCTCTGCCAGGGTCTCGTCTTTTTTTATCGAGAATTTGCTGGGGACGGAGGGGAAAGAGAGCAGAGAGGAGCGGACGCAGGGAAGCACTGAGGATGGCCACAAAGAGACGCGGCCGCACGGCGGAATAGCCGGCAGCCATTGCGCGCAGGTCTGCTGCCAAGTCTCTCCGTTTGGGTTCAGCTCACAGAGCTATCCGCTCAGGGATAGTACAATGGAGTGGTACCGAAGAGCGCAGGCTAGTTTTATAGGATGCGCCAGTCCAGACAGTAAGTTTCCTCGCGGTTCTGTACTTGTTGTTGCGTGGGCAGGCAACTGGGTTCCAATATTCGCCAGAATAAAAATAACAGCTCAGTGGCCATCTCGAGGCGTACCTGTCTGCCTACAGAAAGAGGGGGATCCGCTTTTAGGGCAGGCTGCACGAGACATGTACGGGTCAGACCTAGAGAAGAGGCTCAGAGGGGCTTAGTTCTAACAATGTCATGTGAATTTGCCATTAGAATAGTTGCACAGTCACCCTAAGAACTGGATTTCCAATGGGAGTCTCCAATCTTCCCTCGGGAGCCAAAAGGGAGAATGAAATGAATGGCAAAATAGCCCTCGGAAGTAAGAGATGCAATTCCTCTCTCTTAAAAATCCCTTATCTCGCACTGGTACGTAATGCCCGGCACGTTGTTTCTAATCAGCTCAGCCCAGAGACATTGTCAGGAAAGTTACAATTCAAACATATGTCAAAAATATCCTCCCTTCGGCCCCGACACACACACGCGCGCGAGCGCGCACACACACACAAGTCGAGTGAGAGTATTGTAGACTGATTTCTAAAAAGTCCATATTTTAAAATACAGGTTACTCTGGAGCAGAAATAATGTAGTTATTATTCTGTAAAGGGAATCCCTAAGGCCTGCAACGTGGTAATTTTTTTGTGTGTGCAAAAAATCACACGAGCAGAGATTTAAATCCTAGCGCAGAAATTAGCATCAGAGAAAAGTTTGTAGGTTGGTGTCAGCAGTTCTGCTGGAAAAGAACTGTTACTAATCCATGCCTCTGAACTACAGAAGGGAAGGTTGCATGCTGATGTTTCCATGACTGTGACTTAAGTGAGTGATGTGCTTGTACAGCCTAAGAGCTCCCTAAAAGGTGTGTTTCTCCATACATGGGCTTTTGTTTCAAAATGACACCTGAGAGTAGACAGCCTAAAACCTTTTCTATAAGCAGATCCTTTAAAAAAAAACTGCAGCTATTGGATAGTCCCCTTGAACCATTTTAGAAGGCAGCTTTACGAGTTCCGTTATTTCATTTTGTCCAATGCATTCAGTTTTGCACAGTAAGAAATAACAAATTAAGCTTCAAATGGGGGACATATTTTTTTCTACTTTCACTCATCTTAAGCCCCTTTCTGTTCTAAGGTAGAAGCCTGTTGCTGTATGTAGTCAGTGATACAACCTGGAAATAACTGTTATTTCTTTTATTGTGGATTACTGATCGCATTATTTTAACCCACTGATTTTTAGTGGTGGAGTTGAGTGCTTATTGGCCTGGACAATCCTTCTTTCTGAAGGGAAAAAACTTACCCGTGTCATGGGCTGCAAAGGATGATTCCTTGTAATGTTCCTTTGGAGAAACGGGCTGGTATTGAAACGGGAAGTAAAGATAGCACAAGAACTCAGAGAGCTGTACTGTGACAGCACATTCACACCGCAGTCGTGTTGGCTTTATTTACTGCATTGTGTCCCATCCCTCAGTGGCGATTAGAGTTCATTTGTACGTACAATTGTGTGTGTGTGTGTGGGGGGGGCTTTTAAATATAGTCACATCATCAATTCCACTGTATTCATTAAATAATTAATACACGAATGAGGAGTCTGGAAAGCAAGTGTGTGTGTGTGTGTGTGTGTGTGTGTCCTCTCTCTCTCCATCAGCCAGTGACCGCGACTCTCCCGAGATCTCGGAGGAGGCATCCGCGGGCAGGTCCGGGGGCTGCAGGAAAGAGGCAGACGATCTGGGCTCGGCCGAGAGGAGAGAGGCGTTCGCTTGCGGCAGCACCAGCCGGGAGGAGGAGGACAAAGGCGAGGAGCCGGACTCCGCCGAGCAGAGGGCCGCGGGCCGCAAGAAGAAAACCCGCACGGTCTTCAGCCGGAGCCAGGTCTTCCAGCTGGAGTCCACCTTCGACATGAAGCGCTACTTGAGCAGCTCCGAGAGGGCCGGCCTAGCGGCCTCCTTACACCTCACCGAGACGCAGGTGAAGATCTGGTTCCAGAACCGCCGGAATAAGTGGAAAAGACAACTGGCTGCAGATTTGGAGGCGGCCAACCTCTCCCACTCTGCTCAAAGGATAGTAAGGGTGCCCATTTTGTACCACGAAAACTCGCCTGCAAGTGCTTTAGGCTTCACCCTGCCTCACGTCTCTCCTCCCCTGGTGGGGTTTTCTAACGCTGTCAGCTACCCCTTGGCCACCTTCCCCGCCGCTTCGGTCCCCTTTCTAAGATCGCAAATGACAGGACTCGTCTGAGAATCCATCTTTGCAAGGACCTTTCCCCTTCTCTCCCATCTTCCCCCCGCCTCCCATCAGCCCTGTTCTCCTCCCCTCCCTCCAGATTTCTTATGTTGGCTTATACCTTTCTTGATTTTATGCTTTTGGATTTTAAAACGTGCAATAAACATACTTTGGGGGGAACTGTAAAAAACAAAACAAGAGGAGGAAAACCATCAACTCACTGCCTGTCACCAGGATGGCCATGCCTGTCACGTGCCCAAAGAAAATACTGTCGCGTGGAAGAGTCTTTCCACACCCCTTTACTTACAAATTATCCTTTTAACCCCCTTAGATTTCGACTATGGAAACAACACTCTTATGAATCGATTTGTTAAACAGACTTCCGTTGTCCTTAATCTAAATGCTCGTCGGAGCGAATCTAACATGTAGTCTTTGCTGAGCATGAGAAGAATGTAAAGAACGCTACAAACTCTGTGCTGACAGTGACATAATGTAATATTTGGGGGGATCCCCTCCTTTTGGGGTAAATCCTACAGTCCCTTCCTGGGATGGGAGACGAGAGAACGTTAAGAACAGGCTTCACAACTTATCCCCGAATCTTCCTTAGTCTTTCGACATTTCATAAAACTACCAGGTTAAAGAGACAGGTGGTGGGATGGGAGAACTTTGGTCACAGTAGGTTGTAAGGACATAGGCCGTCAGTTAGGCACACCTATACTAGCAGGTCTACGAGGCTGAATTTGGACTTCTTTGGTCACTAGGCTGTATTGTTTCATTCTTTAAAGCACATTTTTTTTATTTTAATCTGGCTATCCCAAATAATGCAGGACACATTTACCGGACGCCCTTTCCCTAGCCCCCCAAATTTCTCCACAATCGTGATACTTCCTGTTTAATAAGTAAAGATCATTTTATTTCCCGTATTTTAATTATTTCAATGGTTAAAAATGTCGGAAGCATGTGATAAAATACCTGCTATTTCTAAAAATGAATGGATTTTAATTTTAAACAATTATATAGAAAAAAAAATCTACACTTCATTCTGACCAGAAGTAGTTTCTCCCCAGCTCTTCAGAGCTACCGGTTAATAACCATGGAAAAAATACCCGTTTAACATCTGATGATGACCAAAAGTGTCTAATTACCACTTGTTTTGGTCTGCTGACTAACCTAAAGAAAACACAGCGCGGCTTTACTCTTTCATATGGCAAGCTGAGAATTCTCGCTAGTTTTATGTAATTGATGAATGATTGGCACTGGCAATTAAAATAAATCAGACGGCTACAGCCTGGGAAATTGTAGCTTTAGTTACACAAGCTAATCTGTAATGTGATGTTATATCAAGTATTATGCATGCCTAAACTACTTCCCCCCTTGAAGAGTTGTTTTATTTTTCTCTATCTCTATTCACTACTAAAATTAGTACTGGGTCCATTATTATAACTCAGGGCTGGGGTTCTGGGATTCCTGATGTTCTGAATTTATGAGAGGATGGAAAGGAAAGGCTTTGTAAAATTCAGATTTGGGGAAAGGTCAAGCTTTCATCCTGTATATTATGGTATAATCAAATGTAATTTAATCTACCAGCTCGGAGCACTATATGGCTGTTTAGAGGGGCACAGATTCTGGTGTGTTTGGAGCATACATGTGTGGCCTTTTCATCTGTAAAGAAAGCGAGTGTTCACTCTTATTTATGATCTTAAATTATATGTTCGACAAGCTAGCCTTATTTCTTGTTATGAAATCAAATAGAAGTTACAATGGAGAGAAATCTGTGATACAAAACCAAGAATAATGCCTTGTTCTGGCTATAACTTTTCGATATTTTGCTCTCTCTAGCCAAAAATATAACCCTCGAAGCCTTTTTCCCCAAATGAATTGAGAACACTAGCAGCATCAAGATTAATTCACACACCGGAGACGATCCGGTTTATGAGACAAGGCTAACTTTTCATATTATTTTCCATAAGGATTTAGCTCAATATTTATGGAAGTCTTTATATTAGTACTTGTGAACGCCCTTTACTAGCTCGAAGCGATCCTCACCAGTTTTTATTTGCATGGCAGTACGGAAATCCCTCAACAATTCTAAAATATTGTTCTCGATTATAGAGGAGTGTAACGGGGGATTTGAGGAGAGGAGGTTTTGGAATGCAGACGATAATAATAATAAACAACCCCCAAAACTCAACTGTGAGGAACTCAAATCGGAATTGACAATGGCTCTTTGGTGTGGAAAAGACATTTTAGTTCGCGGGAGAGGATATTTATTGCCTATGCAACATCTATTATTATTTCGCAGCGTTTGCTTTGATTACATTCGAGACACAGGTTTAGGTGGAAGAAGACAGATTATTTCTCTGGCCATGTTCAACTTCACAAATCGCTCAGTGTTTCCGACTGGAGTAAATTATGATTCACAATAATCATATCAAAGTAGATTGTAAGCCATCGTGCTACTTAACCACCTGCCACTGTCCACATGCCTTTTGTTTTGAGTAATTTATGAGATGATTACTATACTTCTGGTTCGACTCAATATTCTGTTCTTGAGGCAGGCCTAAAAGGATCGATAGGATTTTTTTTAAATGTGGTTTTGACATTAGTTTGTTTTTTAAAAGACGTGCTGTTATATCAATAAACAGATTTTTTCATACACTGTATTTGCAGCTATGATCGTAGTAAAATATTAAAAGGTACAAGACGTGAATTCATGTCAGGAAAAAGTTCTTCCTTATGCTTTATTTTACATGTCAGTGCTTTGCATTACATTATTAAGAGTTCTTATTTGCAAGAAATAACACGCGCACCCCTCTAGTTTATTTACAGTGGGAGATGTGTTACTGTGCAAGCTGACAAGAATCTACAGGGTTCAGAGAGAGGCCTACAATAAAACATTTGCAAACATTGGGGGGATATTATTATTCTTCATTTCCTTCGTTTTAAATGCAAATCGATGTTGCAAAACTTTTACCCCAGGAAAACGCCATGGATGTTCATAGTCTATATTTAAGTAAACATTAAGCGGTAAGGCTAACACGTTGTAGTTCTTCTGCACATAGACGGATACCCTAATGACTTTGTTGACATATATTTATTTTATATCATGACATATAGTGATATACGTTGCTACTTGTAGCTCAAAGCAACCTCAGAACAGCCTTAAAATAAATCTTGTTGTACTACAGCTGCAACATTCTTATGCAATACTCCCTGGCTGCTGGCATGTATTTCATGAATAATGCTACAACCGCTTGGCTAGATGGCACTCAAGAGGCAAAGCTGAACGCGGATAAAACTTTTGGATGTGAATCTGTACAAAAAGTAGCAAAACGCTTCTGAGCTTCCCTTCGTAAACTAAATCCTTGATATAACTGCAATCGAGATGATCATTAATTACACTTGAGCTGAAACTGATCAATAGCCTGAAAAGCATCTTGTTAAGCGATTAGTCCTGCAGATGCGATTGCTCAGTCTTAAAATCTCTTACAGCTTTTTAATATGCCTGGGTATAAAACATTAATGCTAATCGATACTTGATAAATCTCATGTGTGCGTTGGCTCTGCTGTCGAACAATATATTTCGATTGATTTTTTTCTTTTATAATGCATTATCTTTGAATAGATTGTCTCTTTTCCCTCTGTAAACATGCAGGCCATTGGGGCTAGACAGCCTCCAGCTCGACATCGATTCGAGAAAGGCATTTCAAAACTACCTGGAATATGAAACGCGAGCCACTTGAAATTAGATACGGAAACATTTCTCTGGCCTTCCGATTCAAAATCATTTTAACACTGTGTTCAGGGTGGACATATACATACTTTTCTTCCCTCCAGATTACAGTTCTGGGCTCCTCCTTCCTCTCCCTGGCCTTCATTGAGAATGCATTTTAATTTCTGTGTGAAGAAAATCTTCTGCGATTATGATACTCCTCCAGTGGATCTGCAGTGTTAAGGGTTTTTTTCCTTGCCAAATTGGTTGGAATGGGGAAGAGGGAGAGATGAGGTCTCCTACCAAAAGCTAATTGATTTATTAGGGAACCCCCTTGGTAGAGTTAAACTCATTCGTCTTCTGTATAAAAAGGATCTCAAGAAGGAGAATTAGTCGATGGGTTAGAACTCCCAGCACACAAGGAAAAAATGTTTAGAATGGGGGCTGAGATTTTTTTTAACAAGAAGGAACCGATTCTCCATTTCTTTAGTCTCCCAAATGCCTACTAACTCGAACAATACGATTAAACTTAGCACCTCTCTAATAGTTTTGAAAACATCCCATTTATGTATTTAGTAACAATTGCGCTTTGGTCGTTGCATTCCCATATTTAGGGGTCCACGAAGAATTCTAAACTTTTCTCCTTTGTTTTAGTCCTTTTTCCTTTCCCTCTCTCCATGAAAGGGGACGTCATGGTTGTCTTCGCTTTCCCCAGAATATGTGTGATGTAGCGCGTTTGCTAGAAAAGGAAAATGTTGGCATTGGGGAGAAAGAATAGACGATGCTGTGTCAGATGGAGAAAAGAGTCTGTTTGTAATCTCTACAGTATTGTTCTTGTTGTATAAAGATTTGTGGATTTTGGAAGCAAGACGAAGAAGAGAATCAGGCAAATATCCACTTGTTGTAGCCAAAATTCTAATATACGATTCGAGAGAGCTCTTTTTATCTACTAAAGTCACGCCGATCACACTCATAAATGTTTCAAACAAAAACCCTTGTAATTTACTTTGAAGTTTTCGACCCAATCTCACTACATGGCTGCATTTTGGGAATCTCATTTGAAGATATGAACAGAATTGCATGTTTCTGGAATATGCATTAGTTTTTATTGACTTCTCATATTCGAATATCAGTGAACGTTTCCTTTCTTGGCCTAATAATTAATCCCAAGGAGAAAAAAATGAAGACAGTTACTTCAGAAAGGTTATCTAGTTTCTAATGAAATTTGATTATGGCTAGTTCTTAGATTTTGTATAGGAGATTGTGGCTGTGCCACGCAAATAATTAAATATAATCCACGTGGAAGTAATTTTTGTAACGTGTTCGCAAGAAACTCCAGGTTTTGGATGAAGTTATTAGCTACTGAAAATAATTATAAAATAGGAATTTGAGAAAATGTATTTTATTGTGAAGAAAGTACTCCCGTTCCCCTCTTCAGATTTAATCCATTGAAGACATAGTCGGAGGTACAGACCTAAAAGAGATACTTTTGACAATACAAAATAAAACATAGCCTTAGCAACAAACAAACAAAACCGCCCAACAACGCTCAATATATAAGTAGTTGCTTTTAATCGAAAAGATTGTACATACCCTGGGGAGGAACAGTAATCTCCCGGGTAATAGATATTGAATTGCCGAGATGAATAGATTCATTTTTTGATTGAAAACAATAATGATTTAATTGGGAGTAATTCATCCCCGTTTGAACAGGCGAAGCTGTATGAGTAAAAAGCTTCAGGGCTGACTCAGCAACAGAAATTACAACTTCTGAAAACTGATCCTTCAAGTTATTTTTGTGCCCTGCTTACTGCAAATGTGAGTTTAATCTAAATAACCGCGGTATAAGTTTTAACCAACAATTCTACACAGGAAAAATGCTGCGTGCTAGATTTTCACATTATTTGTCCGGAATGGAGCTTTTTTGATTATGGCAAGAGAAACCACAGCTCCACCTGATCCCCCAAGCCCTAGACACGAATGTATGAGAAAATGTGTCCAAAAAAACGTCAAGTGACCTTTCGAAACTCAGCTTTAGAAAGTTAACTTTATCCCATCGGCTTTTTGCTCTCTCGCAAATCTCTCTCACACACGCATATAAATTGCATACGAACTACCTATGACTTGTAGAACATGGAGCTAGAATAGTCTGTCTTTTCATAACGACTTATTTGGGCAGCCATTTCCTTCAGTCTTTACTCAGTCAAAACTTGAAGTGAAAGTGAGATTCTGGTTTAAGGGCCGCAGGAGTTGTGCCTTGGTATGGATTTAGGGTCTGGATTCAAAAAAGGAGTCTACCCCTTAAATTCTGAGGACGTATATTTTTCACTTGACTGACTCCATGGGCAGCCAGGGTGGTCAGACACTATGTTCATCTTGTCAATGGGATAAAATAATTTCAATACAGCAGCTAGTTTGGGATGTGCGGGAGAAGGAGGAATGTAAACATTCGCTGAAACGGTGCTTTCATATCATTACCTAGCTCTTGTTCCCCATTGATAGCTCACAGCGGTAGCAGAATCTTCACTGATAATTCAGGGCATGATCATCCTCTCATTAAAATCAATAATGAAGTGACCATTGATTTAAAAGAGAGCAGGATCCGGGTCCTCATTATAAGATGTGTATAAGGTCTAAACTTCTGCTGTTTAGATACAATATTTGTAAAATAAAACAAAAATACACCAGCTCTGTTTGTCTTCCATTTTAGCTTGAAGTCTATGAACGGCCTGTAGGCCATAATATCATTATAGTTATGCTTCCTTTGCTTACCTGCACGAAGTTTTAACTATGCCATGAGTGAAAAATAGGTGAAACTAGCTAACATTTGTTTACACTTCCTGAAATTCACCCTAATTTTTTTCTTTCTGGTCTCTCAAATTGTTTTCTTTCTTTAAAAAGATATTGAAATAATACTCAGAAGCTCAATTTCCCCCCTGGAGTAAGCTTGACATGTTTTCTAGGGCAAGCAGATCTAGCTGACTATAATGTCATTAGAAAATTATTCTTCGGCAGAGAATGTGACTGATAATGAACAGAAGGACAAAAACCAAGTTAAATGTTAAGCAAAGTGCGCAGAGTTCTCGTCGGGGGGCGGGGGAGAGAGCTGTTTTCTTCACTCATACTGAAATTCACTGATTATCTCTCCCTTTCTTCTTAACATTTCTTGCCACTAATAAATGCATTATCTTCTTTCTACTTTCCCCACCCCACCACCATCCATGTCTCATTTGAAATAAAACTACACAGGAAATGTGGAATCAGATGCAAGGCGAATAAGGCCGGTTAAAAGAAGATTGGCACTTTGCGACTGAAGGAAAATGTTCAGTGCTCTGGTAGAGTGAAGCATTAAAATACTGACTCCATTTGTAAAGCGACTTTAACTTTCTCGCCAATGTCTTAAGGCTGCTTTTTCAAAGAACTATCGCAGCCTTAAAAGATGAAGGAAGTTTTAAGATGCTTTTAATTTAGCTTCTAGAATCTATGGCATCTAAATATCCAGGTGTACTTAGGAGCCGATTAGCAGTTCTATTACCAGCCCTTATTCAGGGGGTTCGAATTTTGCCTGTTCATCTTTTCGTGGTCGAAACACCCATCATCAGAGCAGAAGCACCTCTTTAAAAACTCACCTAATTTTGGAGAAGTGAACCCCCACCCCCAAAAAATCCCCTCTGACTTTCCGCCTCGGCGGGACAAATTATTTTTAGCAATGTAGGCAGCTTTTAAAAGCTGCCATGTTGAAGGGCCCTCTTGTAGAAATACCCTTAAGGAATAATAAATCGCCCCCGTCACAAGACACCCACCCTCGAATCCTTCACCAGCACACAAATCCTGCCCCAGGCACACAAAACATCCCCCTACAACACGTCCCTCCATAACCTTTCACAACCTCCCGCATCCTCCACAACACTCTACCCATGCTCCCATCCTTCACTGTCTCCTCTGCCTTTTCTGAACCCCATTCCTGGCTGTTGTTGCTACTTCTGCTTCCTCTTTGTTTTATTGGAACACATAGGAGCCCTACTCACGAGCCAGGATATAGGTACTGTACCAAAAGAACCCAAACCCCTTACAATTTACAATTAAAGACGAAAGACCACAAATATACAGTTAAACGGGGGTAGGAAAGGGTATAAGGCAACAATGGAATGCTATTGGTCAGGATGATAAGCATCTGACCAATAGCTGCTTATCACACCAGCAGTCTAAACATCACGGACAAGGAGAGTTTTAAGGTGTGTGTGTGGAGGGGGTTCAAGGAGGATAACATTAATTTTGTGGTAACACCCAATCTGTTCACAGGGAGCTCCTCCCAAGCCTCGGGGCAAATATGAAGAGAATGGTTTACAATTTTAACAAATGGACAATTATGGGCATTCTGGGTCCATTGGCTGCAGGAGCCGATATCTCAGTAGCAAATGAGGGATGATAAAACACCAAATAGATCTTGAAAATTAATATCAGTAGCTTATGTCTGATGTGATGCAGTGTTTCCCAATTTTATTTGGCCATGGAATCCTTTTAAACTAGAAAGAATTTTGTGGAACCCCTAATAACATCCTAATATATGGACATCAGCGCTGAGTAGTGACATCATCATCCCCAATCTCTGGCTAAGCTGCCATTACACAGGGACACTTTTATTGTG